TCGAGCGATCCGAAGGGAGGAACGAGAGCTCAGAATTTCTTTCTTTCGCGATAATTATAATCGTAACGCAAATGGAAGGCAAATAATAGGGAAAACACGAGGGAGATGCGTCGTTATTTGAGAGAACACTCGACCAGAAAATATTCTCGTGAAAGAGATACCCTTCTCGAGAAATCTTGTAGCGCTCGCGAACATGTTTCCTAATAAACGGACGAAAAAACGACATGCTTTTCATCAAGTATCGCTCCTATATTTTTCTTCCTTTGCTCGAATGATAAAATATTTCGATCCGAGCATTCGATATTCTCGCACACGATATTCTCTAATAATTGTTGTATTCATCTATCGAAATCGAATACCTTCGAATAAATCTGAACGAAGAATCGATATTTTCTCCAAAAAAAAAAAAAAAAAAAAAAAAGGGAAAAAAAATTTTAAAAAAATCGGGGAAAAAAAATGAAGGAAGCAAAAAAAAAAAAGAAAAAGGTAATAAAAATTCTAAGATACTCGTGGAAAAAATATGTACGTAGCTATATAAGATAAGAATTAGATTCGACTTCTCCCGAGGCGAAGTTTCAAAGGGAAACGCAAAAAATCAGTGGATCGCGTCGCTTTACCCATTCGAGCCTAACCGATCCAGAAGCAAAACTGGAGAAAGATGGCGAGAAAAACTTTGAAAGAAACGTCGAACCGGAAAAGAAAGAAAAGACAAGGAGGAGAAAAGGAAAAAGAAATGATCCAATAAAGAGGAGGGGATCCGGTTAAAGATTCGTTGGACGTACGTAGATGAAAATTCCAAAGCGGAGAGAGGAACGATCGAAGGAGATAAGGAGAGAGAAAGAGAGAGGACAAGCTGAAACGGTGGATACGAGAAGAAGAAGAAGAAGAAGATTCCTTCTCTTTTCTCTATTTTCCTTCACGAGGAACACTCTTAGCCGTTTTTCATTCCGGAAGATCGATCCTCGATGCCGCCTTCTGCCTGACCTAGAACGATCAAAAGGACCACGAAAATCCGTAGAGAGAGAGAGAAGAGGAGAGAAGGGAAAAAGGAAGACGCTTCTACTCGAGGGAGTGAAAGAACGTGTAACAATAATCAAATACCGCGGGGAGTGGCTCGACCTCGTGGGAAATAAAGTACGATAGCAATGGAAATTGAGAATTCGATCGGTGAAAAGCGATCATCGGATACAAACGCGATACCCGCTCGAGCAACGCGTTCACCACTTGCCTTCGTTACCAATGTGTTTCCTTCTATTTACCGAATAAGCAGGGATTTTTTACAATATCACAACATCTCGGGGAAACGAGTGTTTCGCAAGTTTTCAATTTTTACGTTCCACATTTTTTTTCATAATCTTCGAAATTGGAGCAAAAAGAAAGAGAATTCATTTTTTAAGATTTTCAATTTTCCCAAACCTGATTACAGATAAACGCGAAACGATGCTGTTAATTCTCTTCGAACAACAAGTTTCTCGCGGTTTCTCGTAACTCTTATCGATTCGACGATCGTTTATTCCGTTTAATCGCACCGTGAATCGCCCCAAGATTTCCTCGCTGGATCATCCTCGAGAATTATCTTTCCCTTTCGGCTATATCTGTTCACGGCAGTTTCATCTACATCTACGCGAACAATCAAAATCTTATCGAAGCCCTTTGCCCCGTCAAACTTCTCCGTTCGCCTATAAAAAAAAAGAAAATTCTCACACTTTGAGATCGAGCAACTAATTACAAATTTTCACCAACATTTTTGCGCGTGGACAGAATTATCAACTTGAAATACGCCGAGAACAGAGGAGAAACATCGTTCTATCTTTTCTTCTATTTTCATTGATTTGAAAGATTTCACGAAAAAGAAAATCCAATTTTTTGTCATAATTTCTAAAAATTATTCGTCTTCCCTCTCCTTTCTCTCTTCAATTCAGACAATTAAAAAGAAGGAAAAATGATTGGTTTCTAATTTTTTCAAAATTTTCTCTTTAAATAAACGTTGATCGCCATATTTTGCATTACGATTGTCGATCGTAACGATCACGATTAATGAAATTTTTTTGGGAAAGAACCGATTCATGCTGATTCAAAGTTTCGATAAAACGGTAGAAAAATGTACTCGATCAATAAAGGAAATCGAGAAAAATCAACGACTCGATATAAAATAAACAAATTGTTTAAAAATCGTAAAATGTATTTAAAAATTAACTGGTCATAAATATGTTGTTGCAAGATTAGTCGAGACGAAATGTTTCTTCGCTCGAAATTAATGCTCGTTTCTCTGTAACGTAATACGTATTTCGAAGAGGATTGAAATAAAAATATATAATCATCCACTCGAGAAGTAATCCACTCTTCGTAAGGAAATACGTAGCAGAAATTTAATCCTAAGAGAGAAGTTATACATCTCATTCGAGCGTCGTACACGTCTCTATTTTCCTCCATTTCACGATCAAATACGCGAAACTGCGATCGTTCGAGCATACGTACACGTTTCATTATTTTTTCACATCGTGCCGCGTCGGTCATCCCTTGTTTCGCCGAGTTGGCCTTTCAATTTTCACCGCGCGATCCCGAAGGACGCGTGCCACTCGAAACAGACAGTCGGACAGAAGCCGAACCCATCAAACATGTAACAACGACGAATGAAAAGCAACGAGTCCTTGTTCTCCGTCTTGTTTCGTCCTTACGTTGTCGGTGTTCAACTAAATAATAATATCGCGGCGCTACACCCCTCGAGACCAATTTCCATTCGATCGAGAGACCCCCCTCTCTCTCTCGATTTTCCCTTTGAAAGGGGGAAACGAGATTTGAAACGGATAGTATCGCGAGGCCGAATCGTGTAACGATTAAAATATAAGATAAATGGAAATTGAAGGGACAGAGACAGTTGGGTTGGTTGGTCTTTAGCCACCGCTTCTGCTGTTATTACGAGCCATTATGAGCTTCAAAGCTGGAATATGGAACAAGTTACTATATACGCGACTTGGTCTCATTGTTTCGAGGGCTGCTTTAAAATAATTGCTAAGCGCTATTGTCCACGCGACAATCACCACTTTCATATCCATTACATTCACAGAAGCGAGAGGTGTTGTCTCGCGCTAATCCTTCTTCGCTGAATCGAAAATGAAACGACCAACTTTAATAGCATCCCTTCTTTTTCCATTCTTCCTGCCATCGAGAAAAATGGAGAATAAGAGATATGCCCACTTTCGCGCAAATGACAATGAATTTTCTCAAATTTTTCGTAGTCCCCCGAAAACAACGCGTAATTCCGTGTTTTCGAAATGTTATCTTGCATCGAAAGATAATAATTGACATTTATTTATTATCAATTTTATTCCGTAATCGTATTGTTTTAATTATCCTTATTTCTACTCCTCTATGATATATTTTTAGCTATCCCATAATTTTTCGAATTTTCAAAATTCTTTCTATCGAACAACAATATCAAAATTCGGGTAGAAAAAGAAATGTACAAACGAGCCAAGCAAAATTTCTTTTCGATTTTCGAGTAGACGAGTCAATCGAACGGTGTACGTATATATAATCTTATTATTATTATATTTCTCGTATCTTTACATATATATATGTAAGTACATATATATATGTGTGTATCTCTTTTTCCTTTCTACGTCTTTCCCTACAAATGGAACTGGTTGAAATGGGAGCAAAGGAATCGGTCAAACTCGAGCCAGCCAAACTTCGCTATGGAAATTCCACAAGAGTGGCAAACATAAAGAAGCTCTTAGAGGAAAGCATGGAAAGTCAAAGAGCGTACGGGTTGGTCTAACACGAGCTTTTCGTAGTGTACGCGTCGACGTACCGCAATCGCATGAATTTCTGACGGGGGACAAAATTCTGGAAAAGTCTTTCCATGATGTATATTATTAACCGATTAATTACGACCGATTAATTAGATTCCCCGTGGATCCTCGAATTAGACTTCGCGCGTATAATCGTTCGTGGCGTGAAAGGAAAATGTAACGTAAATTGCCACCGATTCTTTCTTCTTTTCCAAAGATCATCCAAAGATGTTTCGATTTCAGGCAATAAACTGATCTGCGATTGCAAACTAGCGTGGATCTGGGGTCTCAGGAACGAGACGAAGAACGTAAAGCTGCGGGACTCTCTGGAGGAGCTTACTTGCTTCTTGGAGAGCAATAACGCAACGCTGAAGAACAACAAGGAAGATCTGGAATGGAACGAGGCGCTCGAAAATGCACGAAACACAGGTAAGCTCGCACGCTACTTATTATCGCATTTTCTTTCCTTCTCTTCCTACTTTCTCCAACTTTTCTCCACCGTTGTAACGCGTTCCTACGTTACTCGGATTTTCATTCGAACAGATTTCTGTTACTTAGTCAACTGTAATAATCCAAATATTACGATAAATTCGTAATCATTCGTGATCGATCATGATTAGTCTTGGAAATTACTTTCTCTCGACTAAAATTATGAAAATATGATGATTCATTCCGATTCACAACGATTATCGTCGTCAGATTCGATTCGTGAAACGTTCACCGTTAAATTTTTTTATTTTTACCTCGAATAATTTTATTTTAACGGATAATATTTTAATTATTTTAGCAATCTCGTATATGATACTTTTAACCCATTAAAAAATTGTTGTTATATGAGAATGAAACGCAAAATTTTACGATTTTTTTGTACGTATTCGAAACACGTTCACTTTCATAGAGAACGGAAAAACGTCCGAATAGTAATCACTCAAGCGTGTTTTGGGTAAAAAAGAATAAGGATCCCTTTTTCGAATCTTTCATGGTCTGCTGGATAATTAACAGAGTGGGATTTCCTTTTCTACGTTGTTTTCAGAATTTATTGAATCTTATCCTATATCGATTTCTCGATTCAATTTTAATCGTCGAGATAAATTTATTTCGACATATTTTTATTCGTATTATTAATTTTCGATCCAAAGAAGTATTTCTTTTTTTCTTTCTTTTCTATATATTATTTATTTTATGGAGAATTCAACCTCGAGAAACCACTTTTTTCGATTCATAATTTCTTTAAATTAGTAAACAGATGATATCGTTGGAAATTACTGCTCGAGAAATATTCCGAATGCGATTAAACTTGACCTATAAATAAATAAATAAATAAATAAATAAAGCTTTTTTCTCATTAGAAAATTAAACAAATTCATTTCATCATCTAGGAGAAATGTTACGTTCATCTCGTTTCCCACGATACATAAAGGGAAAGGGAAAAAGGAAAAGAATGGAAAACGCGTATTCGACTACTGCTCGATATACATTTTCTTCAAATTTTCGATTCTCCCCTGTTACAGAGGAATATCGGAGCGGGAATTCGAGAGACGGCAGTATCGAGGACGATGACGCTTACATGGGCGACGAGTACGAGAGTAAAGATGGATACGAGGATTCTTCCTCGAATTCCGATTTTCAACCAAAGGTAAGATATACGTTTACCTTTCATATTTTCCTTTCTTCCAAAGAAGAGAAACGGTATCGATTCCGCATCGCGTTTCTTTTCATCTCTCGCAAAATTAAACGTCCAATGATCTATCGTTGTTGTACCATCTATTTTATATATATAGTTCGTTTATCGTGCTTTTATGTCATTTTTCCAAGAACGATCGAATCTTGAGATTTTTTTATTATTTTAACAATTCGAGTTAAGTATAACGATAAACGTTTGTTTTGTAGAACGATATGTAGAACGTTCGCAACAATTTCCTCTCTTTATAAACGTTTGTATCGTAAACGGAAATCGCGAGGGAATTTTTTTCAAATCGATTTGTTTAAGCGTACCAACGATATAATCAGGGATAAAATCAAAAATTTTAAGAAACGTTCGATGAGATTGAAACACACCGTTTACAATACCCGTTTGAAATTTCACGAAACAACGACATTTTTTTCAACGAAACGCCATCTCTCTGAATTATAAAACGTTGTTGCGTAATTTCTTATCGCGGACGCGCATACCTTCCATTTCACCAGTTTTTTTTCGTGAAATTTCTCGTAAATTAACTAGCCAAGCGTGACAATTTTTCGGAAACCGCGAGTAAAATTAATATTTTATTTGAAAAGATATGAACGTTTTATTTTCTCTCTCTCTCTCTCTCTCTTTTTACGAAGAAAATTTATTTATTCGTTCCCTTTTTTATCTTTTTACGAAATTTTATCACGCTGTAAACTTCGAAACGAACGATTCGTCAACGAATTTGCTAAATTTTTACATACTATTTTTCATAGCACGATTAAAACTCTCAACTTTCTCTCTCTCTCGAATTATCTTTTCCTTTTTATGCTATGCTTTATGTCAGTCGAATAATTAGTTTCGAAGAATAAACAGCGTTTTACACGCGTTAATGAAGAGAAATAAGTATCCGATTATAGAGGTGGTTTAATTAACGATTGCGAGAATTACTCGAAAGGTAAAACCGAGCTGGGACTAACATGCTCTTCTCGAAACAAATTGTTACAGATACAGATGGTGGAGGGTAAGCTGTGCTACGTGAAGAACCTGTTCGAGCTGAAACTGGAGGAGCTTCCGTGCCCGGAGCCCTCGAGGGAGGATCTAATGGCGTCCGAGCAACCTTCGAGTCGGCACGAGAACGCTCGCGTCGGTTCCTCGGGTTCCATATGGTTCTCATCCTCGGCCGCTCTTATTCGCCTTCACCTGTCCGTCCTTTTGTGCTCTCTTCTCCCGCTCCTATCGGTCCTGTTCACGTAGAACCGGCTTTATTCGCCACCAACGAGCAGATCGCCGGAAGGACGACCATCCGTCTCCGAGAAAAAGGACGGTTCTCGATATCTCGATACGTAAATACCTGCATAATCGAATCGTGCGAGGTGTGTACGCGTGTGAATCGTCGCGCGTGTCCCCGCACGGAAAATCAAAATTTTATGCTTACGCCCTTTCCATCGGTTGACTAACGCGGGATAGAAATAGTTTCTCCACAAGTTTTTCAAGTAAACACGAAAAAGATTCCAAGACTTTTTAGAATTCGATCGAGATTGTTAGAGATTATCGAGCGTTTAAATTATTACGCGTACAATCCTTGGCGCGATCACGATTCAAGAGCATCGTTAGAATTTTGAATAGAAATGGATGGACGGTCGAAGGAGCATATCACCGATCCTAGTTTCCTAGCGGAAGAGGAGAGAGCGAACGATGGCTCTAACCCACCACCTTGCGAGGACACGCCGAAAACACGTCGTCGGATATGGAAACGGAATTATCGAACGTGATTCCGCCGGATGTACGATATACGTATCTCGAGATGATAAAACACCAAAATTGTTCGATTTTTCTATAAGCGCAACGGTCTCGTTATCAACGGTCGCGTACGTTTATAAGGCTGCTTATAACTGCCATTTTTCATTCGTAATTTCGTATATCGTTAACTTTTCGCGCGCCATTTTTCTTATTAACTCGCCCGACGTTAAACAAGTAAATTGTAAATACGCCCGTCAGAAACGGTCTTCGTGCGTTCTTAAGAGAGAGAAAAAAAAAAAAAATTGTAAAATAAACCTACGCTCCTTCTTTTATACTTTTACACGGACTAATCTAATATCAAGGATCGAAATTTACCAAGTTGCGACGTTAAATATCATTTAACGATACGTTTAGCCATTAGTGGATCGTGAAATCGATCGTTTCGTGCAACTCGATATTTTTAATTAATTAAAAGAGGTAGGATGACGGAAAAATGGAAATAGCGATAATAAGTTTTCAATTCTATCCATAAAATTTCTATCTATAAAATTTACGCGTTAAATAAAAAAAATTTCAAATGGATAAATTAGCAAAATTTAGCGATGTCGTCGAGTGTGAATTCGCAAATAGAAATAGAAACGAGACTCGTATCGCGATCGATTTTAGGATAAGGGAAAAAATATAAATCCTAAATCCAAGATTTGTTCGTTTCATCGATCACGGGGTAACGTTGTAATCGATTAATTTAATTACACATATCATCAAGGAATTCCCAGAAAACGAGGGGTGGAGGAGAATAAATCAAAAATTCCATCAATAATCCAATATTTCCAATTCACCGAAAATATTATTCGCGATTATACAGAATGTTCAGAATATATTCGTGGAACGTGTTCGAAGGATCGATTTCAGAGAAATAAACGCAAAAGTTGATATTTTGCAAAGATTTTTGGGCACGTTTATTAAGTTATAGGTAATTTAAATGCTTGTAACTTAATAATAAATAAGCGTCGATCGAGCATTTTTGTACTTTTTCAATTTTTGTGTTCGTTTCGATCTGTCAGAGATCGACGAAAAATGTCCCACTTGTGTATCAATCGACGCTTTGTAAAAATCAATATATCTACTTGCATCTTTCCATTTTCACGAAGACTCTTCTGACAAAAATAATTCTAATTCATCGTCGTTTAACACCGTTCCAAACGTTTCCCTAAATACGACACGCGCGCGCACGTATAATATATTAAAATTGTTTGAACGAGTCGACAATTTCTGATCAACCGCATCCTCGCGAGACTCTCGGAAGTTGAGCGGAAACGGAAATTGATCGTGAATACGAAGCTTACGAGTCAATTCCCCGTGCAATCGCGTTGATTTTACCGTTATGGTATTCCTTTTCTATTCATCCGTTGATCGACCAATATTTAATCCAATTAATTACCATAGGATTAAATATCGATGATTCTCTTTACCGAGAAAACCGAGAAACTAATCTCTAATCAGATTTAAGTATCGAGCCGCTTGATATATCGATTATCCTCAGTTTTATTTCTATCTACCAATGCCATTAATCCATCGAATCGTTCGCGACTTTTCACGATTTATTCCTTTCATTCGTGAATATCGATCGATCGATCGATACAAGTACCTAATAATCACAGACGATTGATCGTCGAACAAATCGTTGTCGACGTTTCGCTAGTCAAGACGCGTTATCGTAGTGTTCGGATTCTAATTGAACGAAAAGAAGTGATTGGCGATAGAGTAGCAAGGAAAAGTAGGAACGAAAGAAAAAAAGAAAACGCAAAAATTGATCTTCGTTTTTTTATAATCGGTTTAAAAAAAAAAGAAAAATCGTATATATCGAAGAATCTAGAAAGAAAAAATTTCAAATTTTGATTCGAATAAGTAATATCTTCGCTGCTAAATCCTCGACTCGCGATCGAATGCAATTTTCAACGTTTAGAATCTAATTCCCTAAGCGTGTTTCGAGAGGTTGGCGCGGTTTACGCGACATTCAATCGCTAAATTGGCGCGGTCTCGAGTTTTTTTCGAAAGAAGAAGGGAGGGAAGGAGGGATGATGCGGCTTCTCTTCGTCTCCGTCAAGCCTCCTTCTTTGGCCAACTGGCTTAATTACGCCCCTAATTGAACGTCAGACAATCGAGGGAAAGAAGAAAAAAAGCGAGTGAATTGGTCGTTCGCGACGATACACAGCGAATTTTCTTTTTTTCTTTTCCTTTTAGAGCCGCGGAGAGCAAACGAAAAGATAAAGGAACCACGAACGATGGTCGAAAAAAGAAAAAGAAAGAACTTTTTTCGTCTTTTTTTAAATATCGTATCATAGGAAAACAGTGTTCTTGGTAAATTGCACGAATACCTCTCTGTTTCGCTTTTTTTTTCGACTCCTCTTCCGAATGCCATCTTTTGCCTCTCAACTGATTATTCGTAAATAGTTAAGTTTTATCGAGAATCGAGGAAAGCAGAATAGTTCAAATTTCTTTTCCGTTCGTTTTCTAAAAGAGCCGCTACGATATCGTAAGAAATTTTTAGATTTCAATTACCTTTCAATTACGTAAAGTAAACGTAGTAGGACAGAGATATATATCTTTGTTATTTATTACGACAAAATGTTCGAACATTCAAGATCTCGTTATAATTTATATATTCTAAAAAAAAAAAAAGATAGAAAACCAAAGATATAAAATTATCGAAAAGATATCCAATCCCTCGACTCGTATTATTCATAGATTTTTCTCAAAAATTCGTATGTGATTATAAATTACGTCTAAATTTATTTTCTAATTAACTAAAT